GAAGTACGTACATTTTTTATTGCGCTTTTAAATTATTTGAATTACTAATTTATCATTATTACATTTCTTATGCGCTTAATAATTAATGCCTACATTGTGTCATATTCGAGTCATTGGTCTACGGGGTTTGATCACGGGTATTTGAGTGCAAAATTATTTTGGGCCCTTATTTGTAATAATTTTCAAATATCGGGCCCTTATCTATAATTATTTTCATTTTGGGCCCTTATTTGTAATTATGTTCAATTTTGGGCCCTTATTTGTAATTTCCCCTAAAATATAATATAGTCGTCCTCCCATAAAATTACACAGTTGGGTACATAGTAAATTTTTTATATGGTATGATTAAACAGTCATTGAGTCTGAGATTTCGAACACTGATCGGTATATGATAATAGTGATACATATCTCGAGGATTCCAAATGCCGTTTAATAAAAAGATTGTTGAAAAAAGAAACTAGAATACAATTTTTAAGTACTGATAGTCACTATCATGCCTCAAATTAATGTTTATGTCAGACGTTGCTTTGGTTTGAGTCAGTTTAAGGTTATGTTTTTGATTATTTATTAATATATAAAAAATTTGAGTTTTTAGATTTAATTTAAAGTGTATCAAGTATGTGTGTCACAGGTGATAAGAAAACCAATACATTTTAAACATATTATTTTGGTTTTTGTAATATACTATTTTACATTTCTTTATTCAAAATTTTATCAATACCCAAATAAATTTTTAAGATTTGATACCCAAAATTTATCTCTGAACTAACTGTATTGGCATTTTAATTTTTTTTTTATTAATGCCTCAAAAATGTTGATATAGCCAGAGTAAAATGTAGTTATATCATTGACAGTTGGACATATGCAGAATTTTGCAGCATAGTCGACCGTGCAAACGGCCGATTGTACTTTACTACAAAATTCCACTTATATCAACTACACAGAATATAACTGCCCTGCCATCCACGTAACATAACTTTCAGGTACTTATTTTAGAGTAAAGCCCTTATTTTACACACTATCTTTGATATTTAAGATTAAATAGAATAATATATTCAATCACATATGTCTAGTAGAAATAAATTACATAGATGAGGATACTCTTTGGCTGAAGGTTCAATATTCAGAAATTGAACCAAAATTAGGTCTAATGTTTGGGTACCGAAATCCTGGTTTAAGATACGATAACTGACTTTTAACCATATATTAACTAAATACCACCTTCATTATCTATAGCAATTCTGATTAAAACGAATAATTATACGGGTTCAACACTATCCATGTCGAATCATAACCAAGTAATACTAATTCGACCTATTAAATATACTGTACATAGGAAGAAATAAAGAACTTATTCTCTTACGTAATTTCCTTAATGTCTTGCTTGAGGAACTACAATTTATAAGTTTTGATACTGCAATAAATCTCGGAAAATAAGAATTTGCAATTGGTATTACATTTGTAGATGCATCGTGGGTCTGTAAAGTTGCTGACCTCCTTTTTAATGATGCTTTTTTCTTTTGACAGATTACGAATATTAGGATAAACATGCATTTACAACAAAGAATCATAAAACAAAATTGTTTTCTTTATATTTAACAATTTATAAAATTTAAATATTATTTTAATTTTAGTTCAAAAGTGTAAGACCTAATAACTAGAGCTCCAGCACACAAAACGTTGCCGTTTTTCTAGTAAATATCTAATTATTTAGTCTAATAAAATATAAAAAGTAACAAAAATTTTTTATATAGCATAAAAGCTTTAAAATATATTACATTACTTTTTGTATTGTACTATCTTGTTTGATTGATTTTATAAACATAATCAATTGATTTAAAGTAGATATCACCTATACTATGTTTAATTAATATTGTTATGTTTCATTCACAATGTTTTTAAAGAATTTGTAATTTTTGCCGTTTTGAAGAATTTGATATATTCTCATCTGCAAATTAAAATAATTGTCAGCCTTTATTATAATCATATTTGCAAATTATTATATAAAGAGAATTTACCAATTGAAAGAGTTTCTCCGAATGCTCTTGTCACATAGCCAGAATCTTTTTGTGCATAAATGATTATTAAAGCATATAAAAAATCAACATATTTATTAATTTATTTTTGAAAAATAAATTACCTTCATCCTTTTCATCGACAGTAATCTTTAGCTGTTGCAGTTGGCCTATAGATTTTGCTATTCTTCTAATAAATTCTAAATGCAACATCATAAAATTAAGAAACGTCGACTTTCTAAAAAGTTAAATTTATTAAAAATAATTAAAATTTCTTACCTAACTCGGATATAGCAAATTTGTTATTTCTATTATACTCTATAACTAAATAATTCAAATGATAAGCTTTGGATATTATTTTCCGTATAAACATGCAAGAAAATTACCTTTGTCGTTCGGTAGATGTGGTAACAATCTACCTATATAAAAGGCTTTAGGATGCGACTTAATATCCATACATCCTCTAGTATTACCTCTATTTTGCGGTAAATTAATTGCATACTCATCATCTTCCGAACATTCCCAATACTTTTTATTTATCAACAATCTGATATCTAAAATGTCTGGTCGATTTTCAGGCTCATTGTCCCAACATTTTTCCATCAAATCAATATACCATTCTGGAGTTTCCTCAATATTTATAGTCGGTCTTTTCCCCAGGCATATGTCCATGGCTAAATTAACATCATGTGGTATATCATCAAATGGAAGTTTTTCAACTAAGACTTCCCACATAATAATTCCAAAACTATAAATGTCTGAAGATTTGGTATAAAACTGTTTTCTGCGTAATATCTCTGGCGCTACGTAAGGTAACACACCATAGATATCCTTACTTTTTAAAGGTTTGCCTATTGGTCTACATAACCCTAAATCAGTCACAAAAGTTCGCATTGTGTCGTCTTTAGGTGTGTGCAGCAATAAATTTCCACTGTGAAGGTCTCGATGTATTAAATTTGCAAAATGAATTACTTCTAAACCTAATGCTATATCTCTTAACATTCTTAGTTTTTGACCCCAACTTAATAAACGGTAATTTTTTATAAGATAGTGACGTAGATCTCCATTGTTGGCGTATTCCATTACCATCATGTAATTGTTTGATTCTTTGTGCTGGGTTATTCCATAACAATGAAGTACACGACCATTGCGGCATCGATAATACATCCTTAACTACAAAACAATAAAGATTGTATATTCATTTATTTAATAATATATAATATTAATATTAATTAAATAACAAATGATAGCAGAAATTAAATACTTCATCTAAAAAATCCGCGGTAACATTTTTAGAATTATGTAAGCATTTCAAAGCTACTTGTGTTTTAGCTAAAAGCAAACTATAATTTAAGTGACTTGTTTAATATAATATCTTTTCAATGAATTTATTTAGATCTTACTTTCTTTTCTCCATTTGCATTTTTCTTCTTCATAAATTCGAACTTTATTTGGTCCATAAATCCAAATTCCATAATAAACTTCACCATATCCACCTTTCGCCAAATATGCTATATTTTCAAATTCACTATAATCAATCCAAACCAAATAATCACATTTACTTGTGGCAATAAGTTGAGTATATCTTATGAATTTGTCTAAATATGGATGTCCGCTTGTCCAATTAATAAAATTATTTGAAAATTGTTGGGATTCGCAGAAATTACACCATCGAACATCTGTTCTAGGTCTCGAACATTCTGGGCATGATAGATCTGGATCGACTTCGTATATTTCTTCACTATCGTCGGTATCACTACTGATATCACTACTGATATCACTAACTTCATCTGAAGTGGGCTCGAAGTTAGAAACAGAGGTGTATGAAGTTATTGAAGATTGGGTTAAATTTGAAGATAATACACTTGATTTCTCTGATGATGAAGGCGTTACGGATGGAGTTGAATTCATGTTTGATATTTCAGTTAATGAATGCTCAGTAAACGATTTTTTACGCATTTTATATATCTGATATGCTTACGTACGTACGCAACTACTTTGTGTACATTTCTAAATTAGAAAACAAAGATTCTCAATATAACTCTGAACTGAATTAGAAGTTAAACTATTTAAGGATTTAGTTAAAGCCATCGGAGATGAAATCCACCATAGATTAATTACTTATTATAGAATTTTTAAAACTAGACTTTGGAATTTAGAATCAAGGCTTAAATTAAAGTCAGAAGTTATGGTTTCTAAGTGCTAAACATTTTTACTTAGCACACAAAACGCCAATTGTTACTAAAGCCATTTTTGTGAAATAACATCAGTGAATTTCGCGTTCTTAAATTCCAATGCAGAAACATTTCTGTTGCATTACACAGTCAACCGGAGTGTAAATACCATGGTATCACATCATCCTTTTAAATGAACGAATAATCAGGGTTCGAAATAGATCAGATTTGAGTTTGCGTATTGTCCTTATAAAATTTGCATATTTTGTTATTTCAGTATTTAAAAATGCTACGTATCTTGGCGTTGTTTTTTGCAGATACTTCCATTTTTAGGGAATGGCTAAAAGCCAGGTACGTACGTACGTACGCACTAGTGCTAGAGGTCGAGGTAGGAACGTCCCAAATAAGGGGGCTGGCTAAAGCTAGGTACATCACGAGATTACCCGATTCGATTAATATTAGGGTTGGGGTTAGATTAGCCGTCTTTTATGTTTTTGTCTTTGTCGTCTCGCTTTGTTTTGTTCGGGCTGATCCGGGCTATATATCGGGTAATCCCGTGATGTGCCCGGCTTTAGCCAGCCCCCTCATTTGGGGGACGTCTAAAGCCGTGTCAAGTCACGTGTTTTTAGTTTTTAATTAAAGTTAGGGTAAGGGTTAGTTTGGGGTTAGGGTCAGGGCATGTCTTATAGTAAAATTGTCTTCCCGACATTTTTTATTAATGCACCAAGATGGGTTTAGACTATTGTTTCTTGTATTTTTTGCGATTTTCACTTTTTTTCGCTGTTTTTTGTCTCTTCGGGCTGATCCGTGTCGATCAAAATAACAATTCTATTGGCATTAGGTCACGTGATGGACACGGCTTTAGACGACCCCCAAATGAGGAAATAATGATCCCGATCATGCATATTAGTTTGGCCAATTAAAATCGAAATTTTTATCATGTAAAAATATCACATGTTGATTAGCCAATCAAATCGTAAATGAAAAGAAACGAAATTTAATTAAAATTTATAGCTAAATTTCAAAATAATTGCTGCTAAATGTTACTATTAGGTGAGCAAGAATGTATTTATTAATTTAAATCGGGAGTATTGATTTTTCATAGCATTTATTTTCATTTATTTACAAAATCTTAATAATATATATATGTTTAATTATACGTCTAATTCTACATCTAATCCTACATCAATTCTACATCTACTCAAATTTGTTATATCTTATACTATGTTATCTTACACAACTATCATTCTAATGAAAAACCGTTGCGATTTTAATACATCTCATATATAAATTTCTTATCGTATTATAAAAGCACCTATAATAATATTATTGCATGGTTAATTAACATCAAAATAATTTCTTCTTCCTATACAAACGTTATTGATCATTATTTAAGCTTTTTTTTATGTTTTTTTTTTTGTTCAACAAAGAAGATTTAATCAACGTAGTGATAGTAATTTACTTATAATTTCGGTAGGTAAATTTTAATACGAAGATCGAATGATTTAGAATGATTAAGTTGATATTATTTTAGTCCGGTACGAAAGCTTCAAGTTCACTTAGTATGCTTGGCTGGGTTCACAAAAGAGATAATCTACCAGAGCTTCCGAAAAAAGTACTGTAAAACGTATAAAAAAAATTCCGAATCAATTGAATCGTTTGTGTAACGATTTACAAACTCGCAGACAACCTAGTCCCGACAAATAAATTTGACTAACTTCAAAAGGTAATCCTTGTTCATAAAAAACAATATACAAAAAATCTCTCCATAGAACATTAAGACCATACAAGCTAAACATCTTGATGGGCTTAAATTTTTTTTAAATTTATTTTTAATAAAATAGTAGATAATTAACAAGCAAATTTGGCTACTTTACACACTAAATTTGGCTAAATTGGGCCACTCTATATATTAAATTGACTGGGTTAAATTAATAATTGGTATTTTATGTTAAAATTTCAAATTTGGCTGTATCATATATATATAAATTAAATTTTAAATTTGGTCGCTAAAATTTTCATTTATTGAGACTAGGTTGTTCGCACTGTAGTAAAATTGGTAACTATCTAAAATCTGATTGGCTATTAAATGCGGCAAATCAGATTTTAGATAGTCGTACGTACGTACCGTTTAGAGATGGCGGTAGAATTCAAAAAAAAAAGGAAATTATAAAATGAAAATGATTACGTATGTACGTACTTACGTAGTAATCATTGTTATAATTTCCCTTTTTGAATTCTACCACCATCTGTATTATCGTTATTCGACATTTCATATGATCATGAAACTATGTAATCAGTTTTGCAAAATATCACGGAAAAACTTCACATGGTTATATTAACTATCGGATAGCATCAATATTTGATATACGACAAATAACAGGGAATTTTTCATCATCTGCCAATTTTGTATACGTATTTAGGCATTCTTATGTATTCTTAGTGTTAGTGGTTAAACCCATATGAATTTCCCTTGTTCGCGAGCAAAGTGCTCGGTTTATGATCATGTGATGATGATCATACGAAATTCAGCACCCAGAAAATGTGTACGTACGTACGTACCAGGTTGGATCTCATAGGAGGAAATTCGCTGTTGTAGATCAATTTCCCGGGTAACTAATTTATATGTTTTACAGAACTTTTTAAGAATGTAACGTTTCATTAATAAAAGATCCCTCCAAATATCATTCTTGGTTTTAACGAAGTGCCACATTCACTATGCAAAAGAATCAAAAAAAGATCAGACTCCCGGAGAACTTCACTTAGAAGACAAATTTATTCGTCTTCTATTGGACCATACAAAATATATTTATATACTGCATATACCATAAACAATCTGTCGATTAATGTAAGGTAGTTGCAACCGTTTGTATTTCTATTAGATCATACTCAAAGGAACTTGGTTGAATTTAAACAAAAAATTAATAGTTTTAACTCTCTTTGTAGTAATTTTTCTTGGTATGTTATTATATTAAAAAAATATTATAAAAAAGGGGTTTTCGAATTTAGCGTGTTAACATCTTTAATTTCTTATTAAATAAATTCTATTTTTCTTTTATGTCTCACATTAAATGCCATATGCAGATTATGTCGAGTGCTTACTAATCATAGTATGTATTATGATAGATTTGGTGTTTTATTCTGATTTTTATAATAAATACAGTCGACTCTGAATATACCGAACTGCAGATTCTGGAATATTTTGTTCGGTAGAGTAAGTTCGTTATATAGTTTACTCTCTCTATACCGAACAGTTCGGTATATAGGGAAAACCAATAAAATAATGCGCACGTGATTAAAATCGTGGACTTAGACCGGAATTTTTCGGAATTTCACTCGAAAATTTGTGTTTATTCATTTTCCTTTCGGAATATTCCGGAGCTATAAACACCCGGATATAATACGTTCGTGATATCGAAATATGTATACATAGTCCGACATAGTCCTGGGCTGGCAAAAAGGAGTTCGGATGCGGTATATAAAAATTTGCTATGTGAGTTCGGTATAACCAGCCTGAATGATTATAAAAAATTGGTTCTGCCAGATCCGGTTCGTTATAGCCCGATTTCGGTATAAGCAGGTTCGGTATAACACACTTTATATACATCTATTTGTTTAATAAATATGCATTATAAATTTTTTTGGCTTGTTTTCATCGATTTATAGAAGCTTCTTTTCGTTTTTTAATATAATCGGTAATTTCGTATTTACAGAATTGACCAATCAGATTTTTACAAATGATCTAATTTCCTCCTATGAGGTTGGATCGGATGATCGTTCGGATGATTGGTCCGGAAATTAAATCTTTTCTAACGATAACGATAAGATTTTATTTTTCAATTAAATAACGATCATATAAAGCAATATTAAACACAATATACTATGTATATACAACACGTAGAAATAATACAAATAATTTGAAATTTTACATTTTTAAAATAACTCTATTTCTGTTTAATCATTTGGTTTTACACATAAAATCTCGAAATAACGGGCATGGGCGTTATTTCGAAAATCGCGTCCCCTAAAAATAGCATATGTAGATTCAAAATAATGCGCACCCCACTATACTGTATTTTGCAAAAAAAAAACAGGTTCAAAAATAGGGTTGTTAACGAGTACGTTCGGTCCGACCCAGTTCCGGTTCTTAAAAAGTCCGGATCTAACTTAACAGTTTAAGATACAATATAGATAATTTTGAAAGCGAAATGCTAAAAATATTCATGATTTACTTTTATTAAATTGATCTGAACTAGTTTCAGACCTGCCTAAAAAGTTCCAGTCCGAACAAGTCCTTTGTGGGCTATTTAATAGCCTATTCAAAAATTCACCCTATATGTTCAAAATAACGTTCATGGATGCTAATGTACGAATTATTTCCCACTTGGTTTGTTCAACTTCTATAACAGGAAAATAGTTCGAATTTTGCTTAATCTAAATATTTAGGATTTTAATTTTAATAAATTAATGGACATAAGAATTTTATATCAAATATACTTTTCGAAAAATAAATCATCTATTTTCTAAGATTAATAAAAAAAAAAAAACTGCTGATTAAAAAATAAAACAAAGAATTATGCACTGCTCATTATCTATTGACGTTTTTGATAGTACGTATAGTAAGAATACTATGTTCCTTTGAGCGTTTAATACTGGCTTTTTTTATTAACGTCAGCTATTGATAAATTAGAAATCGCTGTAAAGACCGAAAAAGTAAACTTTGATTGCATGTTCAGC